CTACTATAAAGATGTAAGAAGAGTCAAATATAGTGAACAACTCTGTGCTGTAGGTCTTCTGACTACACCAAACACTCTGGTCAGATAATACCATCCACGTGGAGTCACAGTGACATGAACTGACTCTGGTCACATCTCCAAGGTTAGGATCTGACATTTCAGGTGATAAAATACTCAATGCACTGTAACTCTTTTTTTAATCCTCAAATGTAAAACAACTTGATAAAAAAAGCTAGAAAAGCTTTGAAAATAAAAGTGGTCATAAAAATCAACTATAGCTAATTTCCACTGGAGAATGGACAATATTCATTGCTAATCCCTTTCAGAAAAAGTTCTACTGAATAAATAAACAACACATTTATTTATTTAGTCTTTTTGAGACAGGGTCTTGCTATGCAGTTCAGGCTGGCCTTGAGCTCACTTTGCAGCCCAGGCTGCCCTTGAACTCACAACTATCCTCCTGCCTCAGCCTCCTGAGTGCTGGGATTACAGGTGTACGCCACCACGCCTGGCTAAGAACACATTTTAATTCAAATCTATCACAACTTACTATTGTGGAGCTTCATGCAGCACATCATAGCAATTAAGTTAGTGAGTGAATCACTTTGCAAATATTATCATCTCCTTTAATCATCGGGCCTGTAAGGTTTGCCATTTCATATATAATGACACTGAGATTTAGAGGCTAAACTCACATTGTAAGTACCGGTGCAGAGATCTGACTCCAAATCAAAGACAACTACCTGTATAATCCAAGAAGCACAAGTTAAAATGAAATCTGAGGGGCTGGAGATAAAGCTCTGTGGCATAAGTGCCTGCCTGGCAAGCACAAGGTCCTGAGTTCGATCCCTGGTACCACAAAAAAAAAAAAAAAAAAAAAAAAAGAAATCTGAAGAAGGCAGTGGTATCTATTTTCAAAAGATGAGTTTCTCTTAGAAAGCTTAAATACTAAAAAAAAAAAGAAAGTTTAAATATTGTGAAATGTCCAATTTCAACCTTTGCAAAATGATTAATGATTGCTGAAATCAATGTCTCCTCCCTCAATAATTTAATCCCCAGTCATGACTCAAGATCTTCATTATAGGTCTGCTTCATGGACAAGCTGATACTGATGACTGAATCAACAAATGACAAATGACAGAAAGTGTCAGTTATTTGTACTTTCAGATTTTATTTGTAGTGATGATTAGGTAGAATAATATAATGTACTGTCAATGATTTATTAAAAATTTATTTTGTACAATAAATTATATAATTCATTGTTATTTTTAAACAGTCTATACTAGAAATATTTCTGGAAATATTTTTTCGTTTTGGTAAGACATACAAGTTTAGCAGGCTGACATCAACTTCATGTTCTCCCAGCTAAAATCCCCACCCCCAGTTACACAGTTAAACACAACTTTTCTTCATATTTTCCTAAAAGTTCATGAGGACATCACTTGATAAAATAGTATAAATATTTCCACAAGGCCTTAGCTTGATCTGCAGAATATTAGGTGGGAAGCAACAAAGATACCTTCATGAGCCTTAAACTCATCACCTTACATCATATATACCACAGTGGTCAAAATCACAGTTAAAAATAAGGCACAAACGGACGCACTGGGTAAGTCAGGCCTGTGTACTGAGCTCGGCCATAAGAGACACAGAACCAAGGCCACGTGACAGACAAGGAAAAAACTGCTTACAGAACTTTTTTTTTCTAACTGTTAAGAGCATATTCAATTGGTTCTTACCAAATTGGTCAGAGGTTACCAAACTTCTGAAATGACAAAACTTCTATGTATAAAAAACTGGATTTAAAAAATTATAAAGTAAGGTTAGCCTCATGAATGAAAAACATAAAAAGAACAGTTGAGGGCTTAGCAGAAATCAGTACATCTCACACAGTGGGAAAAGTAAACCCAACTTTGGTATGTACCACGTGTTTGTATTCCAAAACATTTTGTCAGTTTTTTTCTTGCTATTGTTTTCAATTTACCTCTATGAAACTACACAACAATTTAACTCTCTTATCATTAACTCAATATTAAAGTAATATCACCAGTTTTAAAAAGTCACCTATGTTTAAATTTTACTAAAGTCTTTGAAAGCCAGAAGCACAGTCTAAAACTGAAAGCACATTCTGTAGCTCAGGCCTCAATTTCAGTTCTTATTGTAGTGATAGTGGTTAAAGAAATAGAAACAGCAAAATTAAATGCTGGGTCCAACAGTTAGAAAAGAAATTAATTTATATTCAGATTTAGTATCCTGTACATCAAGTGCTTATTAGCTAAACAGAACTGTAACCAGTGATTCATATCCTATAACTTACTCCAACTAGTAAGGAAGCTAAATAGAAAGATTTGCAGTTGGATACCGAGTTCTGAAGGCTGGCGTCACCTATCATCCCCTGACAGTGAGACTTCATCAGCAGAGACTCTGCAAGCCAAACTGCGAGGCTGATTTAAAGCATCTCTCCCCGCTGTGTGAATAAGTAACATGCTGTGTGGTGACCAAAAGACTGCTTTGTGCTATTCGAATTTATTTTCTAGGCAGACTACTATATCTCAACGACTTTAAAAACCGAACTCGAAAATTTTGCCTGATAGGCTTAATAATAAAAATAGTTAAACCATGAAGAGAGAAGAGATCATCTGAAGTGAAGATTGGAAATGGATCCCCCATGGCCGCTGCCACAGTTCCAGGGTAAGAGACCAATTAGGAGGCTTACCAAGCAGTGTGGGCAATTTACGATGAGCAATCTTAGGTTCTCGTTTTAACACTTGTACTGTATGTGGAAATGGTAGAGGGTGAGGGAAAATGACTCTGGAGCAGGGGCAGAGATTGAAAATTGCAAGTTCTGTGATGTCAGGGTCAAACTTGAAGCAAGGCAGAACAGAGCTAGACTTTCAAAAGCACTGGGAAAGAAGGAGTTAATCACGAAAAGTGCAGCTGATCTTATGCATCAGGAGTGGTGCTGCAACATATCTATCATTCCCATGTGGGTTTCTGTCATTTACCTTCAGTCAGAATCATTATCTATGCAGTAGCTAAAGCCCAAGAACTGCTGATATGCTTCAGACAAGGAGGCTCTGGCCTTTGTCAAGCTAAATGACGATGACACAATGTGGATGACCTGTTCTGGCTACCGTGCAGAGTAAGCTCTGCCAGCATTTACATGTGCAATATTCCCTTCCCGTCTTGGACTCTTGGGGTTCAGCTGCACCTCTTAGGCTACACTGGTTCTACAATTTGGCCCCAAATTCACACAGAAAACATTATACAACTTTTTAATCCAGGATTTACTCATTTGAACTGAGTCACTGTAACTATTTTTAATGTTTAAATGTTTGGACTGCGGAGATAACACACTTAAAAATAACCTGTACACATTTATTAAGTACTGCAGTTCAACTCAGTCTTGATTTCCGAGGTTGCCAAACCTGCCTTAAGTAGTGTAACTCACACATACACTCCCTCATATCTTTCTTGTATAAAGTTTACACCGCTAAATCAGTAAGGTAAACCCAGAAGTCAAACACAGCATCTATTCTTGCAGTATTTCTCAAAGTCTAGTGAAGGTGAGTTAGTAAATATTTTTTCTGGCTTTTTGAGACAGGGTCTCACTATGCAGTTCAGGCTGGCCTTGAGTTCATTTTGTAGCTCAGGCTAGCCTCAAACTCGCAACAGTCCTCCTGCCTCAGCCTTCTAAGTGCTGGGATTACAGGTGTGCACCACCATGCCTGGCTGAGTATTTCATTGTTTAAAAATGGGTTCCTCTTTGGACAACGATATATTCAAACTAGATTAGTCTTCAGGAAAGGAATTTGCAGTAGTTTTTAATATTCCACATGCAGATCTGGAAAAGCACTTTGCAAAATTTTTTGTTCTTCTCTACCCCAACCCACACCCCACAAACATCTCTTATCTGAACAGTGCTCCACAGAGCAGGTCATGGGATACACCCCTTGGTACAGTGTTGCATCTGGAGACTTCATTAACTTCACAAGCTATGAGATACCAGTCCATCTCTTAAAATTAACAAAACTCATTGTTAGACCCAAAAATCTGGGATTGTGCTCAGAAAATGAGCTTATGGGCAGAGAGAGAGGAATAGACCTATTTAATATACTGCACCATTTTCATCTCCCCAGCAAAAATGTTTATAAAAAACCCATGCCAGTCAGTCTTGATGGTGGCTATGCACATCTAAGCAAACTCATCAATATACAAGGCTGCTTATGGCAAACACAGCAAGTGGAATAGTTTTCACCTGCCCAAGTGGAAAAGTGTACAAGTGCCATATAAAACAATTTATGACATGTTGAAGACTAGTGATCCCCGTTATCCCTAAAGGTTCTCTATGCAGTAGTTTGATAACATTTATAGAGCTATCTTCTTTGAGGTATAGCCACTTGTCACTTAACGACAGGGACATGGCCTGAGAAATGCAGTGTTAGCTGATTTGGGCACTTGGGAACATCACGGCATGCACTCACACAAATCAAGACAGCTATGATGTCACTAGATCATAGACTCTTATGAGACCATGGTTTTACATGTCCGTTGATGAAAATGCCATTATGCAGCACATGATTTGCCACTGATAACTAAAGTTGCTATGGAAAACTTCTCTTTGCTTGAAGGGTTCATTTATTTGAAGTGTTCTCAATCTCAGCATCCTGGATAATTTTGTATTACGGAAGTCTGTCTTGTGCACTGTAGGATGTTAAGTGCCACCCCTGGCCTCCGCCCACTATCAATAATCCCGCCAGCTGTGACAACCAAAAACTTCCCTACGTGTTGCTTAGACACAAGGAAATTATCCCCAGCTGGAAAAAATTGAAGTTTATACCACGACTCTGCTTCCCTGGAGAATGTCCCTTCTACAGGCATAAAGTGACATACAAGGAAACATCCAATAATTAGCAGCAGCGGAGATCTCTCCAAATTCTGTGTGATCAGGAACAGGAGTGTGAATGTTGGAGAATGGTTAGGAAGAAGCACTGCACAAAGAGAATTAGAGGTAATTTTATAGTCATTACATTAGTCTGAATTATCTGACTAATGACGCTTCATTGACAAATACTCTCACAATTAGAGAAAAGCTAATTGTATATTATAACTTGGTAAGGGTCATAAGGATGAGGCAGTCCAAGACTGAAAACACAACAATCATCAAAGGCTCAGCCCACCGCCCTCTCCCTGATTAAACGTTCTCTATAAAACTCTCAAGTCAACAATCTCAAGCCCTATCTTAAAACTGCTTATCTGTACTGCAGCTGTATCATTTTCTTCAAATTATCACAAAGAAATCCCTCACAGGTCATGAAGAACTATCCTGGCACGTGTCCAGAAGCACATTATCTAATTTTAAAGCGGTTTCTTCAATATCCACATTTTCAGTTTTGTCATAATTGTCAACTCCAGGTACGCTCTCTTTATTTTGCTCTTTTCTTATTGTCTTTAAGCACTTGTCAAGTCTCTTGATGAACAAGTCCACATCCTGTGTCTTCATGCCGATGGTCGCTGCCGCATTTAGGTAAGCACACGGGTAGGCGTTGGTATGGGACATAAAGCCTCTGAAAGTGTGGCCGCTCACAGTTTGCACCAACCCAAGAGGCACAACCCTGAAAGGGCGATTTATCAACTTAGTATGTCTGCTGATATTAACAGAATGTCACCCATAAATAAAAGATAGCCATTACTAAGCCATACACCCACTTATCAAGAAGTTTAAAAACAGCCATAAATCATGGCTTACGCAAACAGACTGTGTCAGCCTTCTAATGAAATTATACAATACATTGCTATTTTACATGAAAAAGTCCTGCCTGCTGATTACCATTTATTTATTTTCTAGGAAAAATCAACAAGCTCTAGGAATCACAAACATGTTCACATATTCAAAAAAGTAAAAGGAAAATTACTTTTTTGTGCCATATCTGGAACCAGACTTACATATGTACACTTGAAGTCAAATCACGTGGATTGGATTGATTGCCATGTGTCACCACAATCATCAAATTAAATTCCAACTATCTGATCAATGCTGTGCAACGGAAGGTTTTAGAGCAAACACCCAAAAGAAAATACGTTAGCGCTTACAGCACGGTGGTGGCCAGCAAACCACAACATTCTGCAATGGCACATGCATTTCCTACACTGCATTTCATGGCATACTTAGATATAAGTAGATTCTAATCTTTTACTTCTTTTCTTAGAAGAAGTCAAGTAAGATCAACCGAAACACAGATAGTGGCAACACTAAAAGCAAAATTTAAAAAACCATTTTGGAAACATCAAAACTACACTGTAGGGGGCTGGGGATTTAGCTCAGCGGCACAGCGCCTGCCTGGCAAGCGCAAGGTTGTGAGTTCGATTCCCGGTACGGAGAAAAACCAAAAAAAATAAAATAAAATAAAAAAAGAAACTACACTGTAGAAACAGTCCGTCAAGGTAAAAGGTAATTAATCTAAGATTTTTCCTCTTTTGAAAAGTTGCCCTTTGAGCTGAAGTTTCTATCACAGTAGAGTGAAATCCTTTACAGAAGTATCTGAAGAAAAAGATTCAAATTATTTTTTTCTGACCTCATCAAATACACAGTGTAAAATAACACTGATTTTCATACTATGAGGAAAAAGTATGTTTCTAAAGCAATAGTTAGTTAAGAATTACAGAACTCTTTTACTTTAGGAAGCAGGCATTCCACCTGAATTTAGTAAGGAAGACAACTTACTTCTAATACCATAACTTCACATCACTGAGGGTCACCTAACAAAGGACATATAGACAAAGACCTGTACAAAGAGGTGATGAAACTTTGTTTCCACATATCTATTAAAACAAACAAGATTCATATCTTTCTGGGACTATTTCAGGTATAGGAAGACAGATAATAATAGCCTTACAGATTCTCTACCTCATTATTCTTGGACTCCACAATGAACTGTCAGATACATGAGGGATAATTGCTGAGGAAAGGTACTTTATGTGAGTCAACTTGGAAAAGCCAAAACCTCTTCTAAACATACTCACGTGGTACCAGAAACATGTCTGGTAAAAAGCATTGCTCCAAGCTGAGTGACACCTTTGTCATGGTGTACATCTAGTGTCTTAAGTGTCAAAGCTGAAAAAGAAAAAAGTATCCCCAAAGAAGTTTCAATTTATTGCCACAAAAATCACTCAAAACAAACTGATGGAGAAATTACTGTACTTTTTATTCACTGTTAAGTGGCATAGTACCACTTTAATGTATTTAATTACAGCAAGGATTTGCTTGCTTACCAAATGTATTTTTATATAAATTAACATTTTCAGGATCAAGAACAAAATTCCTTATCACCTTCCCAGAAAGTGAATTTTTCCAGCTAAAGAGATGAAACAATGACATGATCAATACAACTGCTTACTTGAATTCAACCGTTTTAAGAACTTATGAGAATGGATAGATACTCTGTATAGATGAGACTAAGTAAAGTCAGCTTCTGCACACAGAAGTGGAAATGAGCATTCCAGGACTGTCTTCTGTATACACCAGCACTCCTATAGCTACCATGTACTGAAGACTGACCATGCTAGACACTCCACAAACATAACCTCAACCAATTCTTTAATAAATCTACAATGAGAGATCATTACCTCTACTTTAGAGATAGGGAAAACAACGTTAGAGAACAGTACCTGGCAGAACTGATACTCTATCCACTATCACCTTCCACATACCAGCAAAGGATTGGGGTCATTTTTATTAGATGTCAGTGCCCAAATAGTTTCCCATAGAAACCCTTTCCTGAAAAGGTATTAGTTACAAATGATCCATTTTCCTACTTTGCTCAGATGCATGAGAAATAGGAAACATATTAAAGTATACATATTTGCAAATTAAAAGGGGATAATTATGAAGCTTTTAAGTTAAATGTATTAAGATCAATAGTCACATTATCATTTTTAAGTAGCCCTTTTACTACAGGGCAGAAACACATGGTCCTTATACAAACAAATGAAATTACAATAATTACAGACATACAGAGGCTAAAAAATAAGCAATAATAATATTAAAAACAATGTAAAAAGACCTTTAATTTCTGGTATGTTGGTGCCTTGTTAACTGGAAGAAGTTCTAATTCCTGAGTTCTTACTAGAGATCAAGCTATTTCGGTTAGAAGCAATACGTAATTTATTAATTGATTCTCATTTTTCAGTGGATAGAATATCTTGGAAATAAATTTCTACAGGCTAACTAAATTTGTTCATTTACTTATTAATACCAAAATGAATTTACAAATACTATAATCAAAAAGTTTCCTCTTTTCCTACAAACATTAAGTTTCTCCTAAGGATAGATCAGAAGTATTGATTTTCTTTTTCTAAAATTAAAAATTACCTAGTGAGATGGGATTGTGAGGTGTCTGCAACAGTCTTTCGTAGTTGGCTTCTGACAACTTCTTTAGCTGGTTGGACAAATACGAAAACATTTCCTGCAATACGAAATGTCACATTTGAAACAAATTGAACAGACACTGCAATTTATCATATTTAATAATACAAAACCTGACTGGTATGAAGCCTGTACCACAGACTGTCTCATCCTCATGCCCTCCTTGCCATGTGTAGTGAGATTCAAAGCTGCCACAACTATTAGAAACCAGAGGGCTTAGGTAAAGGGAAAAGACCAGGCCATTTCTTGCTTTTGGGCTGCCATGTCCATCACAAATCCATTTTCTTCTCAGAACCTCCAGAGCTACCACTCAAATCTGAGCAGCCATCAACTTCTCCCTTGGACAGGGCAGTAGATTTTAAATTATTTCTCTGCATGCTCCTTTGCCCCTCCACAATCTGTGCTATACACAGAGGCCAGAACGGTCTTTCAAAAGCATAAATTTAAGAGCATCATGCTTCTCCTCTGATGACTTTCTCTGATAACTTTAAAACAGCCATTCTTCAACTCTAAAGCCCCATTCGGATGTAACCCAGTCAAAACGCCCTACCCAGCGACTATCATTCCTCCACTCCCAGCCACCAGCCACATCGGTCTTCTCTTCAGCCTTTCTGGTGTCTGCACCTTTGCACTTGCTTTCCCTGGACACGGCCCCTCCGGTTACATTCGGAGACCTTCCTTTGTTATTTCCCCACTAACAAACCTCTATAACTCTACCCACTTGTAATTCCCAATCTCCCTGCAACACCATTACCCAGTTTGGTTTTTTCACTAATTTACCACAATCTGAAACTATCTCATTTATTTGCTTAAGTGAATATTGCCTATTATTAACTACTAGAATGGAAAAACCCCTTGAAGACAGGAGCTCTGTCTTTACTATGGTTCCCCAAATACCAAGAAAAATGTGTCAGATATTGGTATGCAAGTTACACATTAAGTGGCTGTTTTAAAATGAATTTCCTTTTTTCCCCCCAGCACTGGGGATCAAATCTAGGTTCTTGTATACACCAGCCAAATACTCCACCACTAAGCTACATTCCCAGCCCAAAATGTATTGCCCTTAAATCACACAAAGAGAAAATTAACAATTCCCTTAATACATCAACTAAAACTAACAGTTGTCCTGCTCTGAAAAATGATCTATATTCAGTAACAGAAAATATAATAAAGTATGTTTTATAAGTATAGAATGTCCTAGGTAAAAGTGGCAGTTTAGTAAAGTTACAAACAAATGTTAACTTGGCAGTTATTTGAACTAAAACTTTACTTTCTTCTCCACAAAAGGCCTTTAAATAGGTATTAAAATGAAAACCTATGAAGGACATCTGCAGCAGATTGAGCCCATCTGCATTAACCTCCTCCATCCACAGTCAAAACACATAAACTCTAAGAATAAACCAAACGGGGAAGGCAGAGTACCCAGATGGGGACAGCAGGAAATGACACTTTGTCAACTTCAAAAGCCATAAACGCAGCTTCTGTTTTGCTCCATAAATAAGGGTTCGATACTCTGATATCACACTGGGTCCTGGGTAGTGTTTTCCTACCAACAACACTGGTGACTGATAACATTTTTGTTCAAATCCAGTAAAGATTAAGACAAGGATAATTTCTTCCAGGTTTATGAATTATTAGTAAGTCTACTTATGACCACAAACTCTGTTGTCAACACAGTACAGTATATATTTCATATTCTCACCTACATTTTTTGCAAAATAATTAATTCTTAAGTTTTAAGGATATTTTACAAGATTAATTCTCAGTATATCAGAATGATGAAATGTTACATCACTAAAACTAATTGGTTCCTTTAATATTTGAAAAGTTAACATCCAAAAATGCTATACTTAAAGCAAGCTATCCATAAGTATTATATGTGATAAGACTTTCTCTTTTGTCATTAAAAAATGTATAGAGAAATGAAGGAAATGTCATCATGTTCAGAAATGGAAAAAATAAGCTGTTACAGGAATTTCTTTTAGATATATAAAGATTTTCTGGCTCCTCTGTAAGTTAATATTCCAATTTTCCAATAGTGCAATACTCCTTCAGAAGAGGAACTATAAAAAAATGGAATCAATAAATTAACACTTTTTATAGCAATGAAGCACAACTCAAAATGTTTTAGTACCACACCAGTGGTAATAAAGGATAGAATTCCTGTGTTTCTTACTTCTTCTTTTTTTTTTTTTTTTTTGGTTTTTTTCTCTGGTACTGGGAACCGAACTCACGACCATGCGCATGCCAGGCAGGCGCTTTTGCCGCTGAGCTAAATCCCCAGCCCCCCTGTGTTTCATTTATGTAATTCCAAATACAACAACATACTAGGTCACTAATTTAAATGATGTGTATTTTTTAAAGCAGCTATATATTTTCATTCAGATATCAAACACTGATTTTTCCTCATGTATATTATTCATTAAAGTCTTATCCTGTATCTATCTATACAATTCTCCCTTATTCTCAAATTCATCAACCTCTCATTAGCAAAAACAAATCCTGATAGCCAGGAAATGCTTTTTACAGATCCCTACATCTTCCCCCAATAACAAAAACATGCCCAACCTTCATTTATCCTTAAGCATATATTAATAAAGCAAAGTTTTCTCCAGTTTGTATATTTCAAAGATGAAGACCAATTTAAAATATTGTTCTATCTAGTTTGGCTGCCACATTAAAGCACCAATTTGGTCACATTTATAGAAAAAGAAGAACCTGATGGAGTATTTAATTTGCACTTAATTGAGTTAGCTATTTCTGAAAGAAGAGGAAATATTTCTTAGTAACAGCCCTAGAGGCTTCTTTTAAACTTACTGATGCGTACATGGTTATCAAAAAGCTGAATGTGCTCAATGTTAAATTTCTAATACTTTAATAAATTAGCTTTAACTAATTCTATCAATCACTTGATAATACCACCAGAATTGTGTTTTGTCTATAGCTATATTAGGGTGGAAATCTTTAGACTACAAAGATAATAATAAGGTACTAAATCTTGTACAGCACTAGAATGGAAGTAATTATACTTAAAAATATTTTTAAATCAAGTTCACACTCACCAGCAAAGATGTCTAGTATCTCTATTCTATGTGAAGGGTTACAACAAGAAAACCAATAAGCAAAAAAGCTTTAGTACCTTAAAGTACAATATACTTAATTCTGTCATATTCCAAGTACCAAGGTCCTCAATGCTCTCCAACTGATATCACTACATTTTTAAAATAACTTTTTTTAGACTGCACTACTATCCTATACTAATACTTAGCTAAGCACTTTTTTTACCTGATACATTAAAGATACTACAGAACTTGCACTATTTTTTTGCTACAGTTAAATCTATAACTGACATTTATTATAAAATACCTCAGTAAAGGAAGAAATTTATAAGCAGCCCAAGCAAATGTATATAGAAAGATCTTACTTAAAAGAAATGAAATATTATTGATTTTCTATGTCCTCTGTGCTGTATTTAACTTAATTTTAAAAGACTTTCACTAGAAATAAACTGAACCACATACCTGAATGCTAATGTCAGCTGTATTTCTAGAATAAAAATACAAAACTTTACACCATAGTTCAAGATGTTAATGGAAAAGAAGTTGAATCATATTATGCATTATCTTTCAGAGGGCCTTTTCCAAGTTGATTTGCAGTTGTGAAACCTAACTTCTATACTATCTCTCCTCTAAATTCAAAAGGTGCATAATTCACTAACTTTTAAAGAAAGTCTTACGTAATTCTGCCTTTTGAAACATACTGTTTCATGTTACAGGATAAGATGAAAACAGTACTTCACATATTACTATGATATCTCTCATAAAGTAGTTGATAAATCAAGAAAAACACAAAGTTTCAGTGAAAATGCGAAAGGCTAGACGGATGACACCTTATGTATGCATTCACACACTCGCGTGCATATTTGGGAAAACCATACTAAGCACAATATACTGCTGCCTGTGACTGTGGCCAGCAAACAAGATTCACGCAGACTCAGCAGCCTTGTCTCAGCGGCAAAACAACATGCTCGCACTGCTGAGGCCCCACATCCAGGCCTAAAATCTGATGATTTCGAGAGATTCATTTCCAAAAACGGCTGCAAACTGACCAACCTAACTGTTAAGAACACTGAAGTTGTGTGTCTCCTGCTCTTTTAGAACTTAGTTTGTCCTCCAAGCTTCAGCTCACAAATTGTAGCTGCTGGAGCAGCCATTCTGCCGTCATTTCCTTCTACACTTGTCCAATTCAGCAGATATTTGCAATAAGAAATGATTACCTGCCAGCCCTGTTGAGCAAAGCACTCTTCTAAAAGGAGAGCTAAGCAGAATAATGGTCCCTGGAAGCAAAACAGAAGTGAGGACAAACATCTAACACATATTTCTTTCTGCAAAGAAAAACTCAAAAATAAGGTCTCTTACATTTTAACACCTTTTCTTAAAGGTCTCTAGTTAAACTTGTGGTCACTTCTCCCTTCAATGAAGCAGATGCACTGATAAGGAAGAGGCTAAGGGCAAGAAGGCTCAACTCACACACAAAGTCCCACTCTCTCTGATCCCGTCACCCCTCAGAAAGGAAGACTTCCGAAGGAATGGCTTCAAGCTGAGCTCTTGTCTGCTTCCACTGTGAAAAAGATAAAGCCTTTTCTGAAGAGAGATAGCTAGATGAAATAACTTCTAAAAATATCATTGTGGTGAATAAGGGCACAGAATAAAAAGAAACTCTAAGTTTCCTTTAGCATTCCTTTTTTTAGTACACATAACACCAATAATATAAAAAGGAGCTCTCAGTGATGGTATATAAATAGCTCTAGCTAGAGCAAAATAGCTTTGCCTCAGCTTCTCCAGAGCTGAACCAATAAACTATCATGATTAAATTTTCACAGCTCAAAAGCAAGTCCCTTTAAACAAAAAAGGCTTTACTTCTGCAAAAAATCCAATAAAGAAACAATATTTATGCTACATATATGCAATTAGGGTTTATGGAAGACATTCACATTTTTCAACAGAAAGACCTACCTATTGAATGAAGTTGTTAAGGACC